AGATTCAGCAAAAAAACAGCTCAGCAAATTAGAAATATTTTTTTGCCAATGTGAAAACATTCTTTTGAGATTTCAGTAAGAAGCGCTAGAATATCAGTTTTTTGAGGCATGATTGAAATTCAGCAAGAGGTATTTAGGTCAGATGGTTGCCTTTTGTTGTCCTCAAGAAAAATCTGTTCATATTTGTCAATGTTAAATTTCTGACAACTGACCTTCGTCCATGTTCAACGCAGAAAGTTTGGCAGAAAATTTCTCCAAAGATTCCATTTGTACTGAGTATGCTGAACTCCCACATAGCTCCATGCCAACCACACGGACCATGCTCAGTCCCCACACAGCCCAGAGATCAAGTTCAAGGGGCTGAAAAACCATAAAAAGCATTCAGAAGGAGCAGTTGCTGAAGGATGTTTCAGTGCTAGGTACTAAAACACAGCAGGGAGTCTTTCTTCCCAGCCTCTAATGCTCCCCTTGGTGGTGGCTGAGGCTAAATTGTAGAAGGAAGAATCAGCCTGGCTGGCATGCAGATGACGGCAAGCAGCAAGGACACTGTGACATGTTAGGGGACAAGAGGAGGAAGAGTATGAAACCACTTCCAGATGTTTCCTTCCAGACCATGGAATTGGAGCCAAGAGTCCAAAATCAACATTCTTTTGCCATCAGCCAACATCGGAAACTCACTGGCAAAATGCAGCTCTCCTTTGTGACTGGCCGTTAGAGATAAGAAGAACCTATTCTTGCTAGCAACGGTCCCATAACTTCAAAGGTCTGGGCTGTATATCTACAGGTTCATGCCCTGTTGATAAACCATGTGCGGGCTTAGTATGGTTCCAAATGGTGATTTTTTTTTTAAGTTTGCTTTTTAAAAACAAGGACATTACACAACAAAAGTGACATTCAAATAACATAAAGGCTGCAAAGTCAAGCACTAATAAGTTAGGAAATGCCAGAATTAAAGTTTCCTGAGCAATCCCAATTAAGCCCCCTTGTGTGTATGATACAGTTCGTAATTGCACGATCACACACTTCTCTCTCAGGTCCTTTGCTTCATTTAGCACACACATAAAAGTTGATTGGTGCAGTGGTTCTCAAGCAGGAATCTGGGGCTCTCTGGGGAGGACGCAAGCTGGTTTTTAGGGGGCCACTATGCAGGGCCAATACTGGACTTGCTGGGACCCAGGGCAGAAAGCCTGAGCAACTTAACTTCATGTGGTCCCTGTGGCATGGAGCCTGGGCAGCAGTCACACCCTACAACAAGCCCTAGCTTTTATATGCAGAAAAACAATTGTGCACAGTTTTCCCATGAGATTTTCATAGCATGTTGTATGGGCTTCTGAAAGAAAAATGTTGAGAACCTCTGGTATCATGAGTGAGGTTTTTTCCTATAGGGCCTGTGCTATTTGTTGCAGAGGCTAGGAAGTGGGAGGTGAATAAAGTAGGGCGCCATAGGAACTGAAAGGATGATCTCATGGTTAGGGAATTACATTGACACCAGAAAGATCCGAGTTCTAATCTATTCACAACACAGTGGAAGCTGTGCAACAGAAGAGCTAATAACTCCATCAAAACCATCCATTAGGGCCCAATTTTCAACACTGGCTTTAATCTTTGTGCATCTTATTTTCTCAGCTGTAAAATGGTCATGTCATGTAATCTCACAAGGGTCCTGTGAATCAACTCATTCATGTTTGCAGACAATTCAGAAGCTATGGTGTGGAGCTCCTTAGAACATTCCATGAGGAAATAATTGTGTATGGAATTCAGGGTCTGGATGGGGTACAGTAAACAAGGTCTAAGTAAAGAGAAATATTCAACACCTACTCATTCAGTGAACACCATTTATTTTGTGCAGTGGGTCCGATGTAAAGAGAGCAAGTCATCATGAAGTTCCAGATCGTTGGCAATACATACACATAATGAGGCTGAATGAAGATCACACACAAAAATTTGACTTTCCTACTTTTTAGGTGCTTGACTTTGCAACCTTAACATTCTTTTAATGTATTTTTGTATAGAATCTAATACATAATACAGGCAGTCCCCGACTTACGCGGATCCGACTTATGTCGGATCCGCACTTACGAACGGGGCTTTTCTCGCCCCGGAGCTCACGGGCGGCGGGTCGCCACCCGTGTCCTCCGGGGCGAGAAAAGCTTCTCCCGGTCTCCCTGGTCTGCTGGGGGGGACCAGCAAAGCTGCTGGACCCCCCCAGCAGACCAGGGACACCCGAGCAAAGCTGCCGCCTGGGCGGCTTTACGAGTTTGCCCGGGAACCCCGCCCCCTGGGCGGCTTTGCTCCTGTCCCCCTGATCTGCTGGGGGGGTCCAGAAAAGCTGCTGGACCCCCCCACCAGACCAGGGACACCTGAGCAAAGCCGCCAGCGGCTTTGCTGGCCCCCCCTCCCCCA